TTTTTCAAACGCTTCGATGTAAATTTTCGCGTGCATGTGCAATTACATAAACAGAACGAAAGAGACGGAGAAAAATAGGGGAAAAAATAAAAAAGAGAGAAAGATAGGCATTGGAAGAGAGATGCAGCAATTGCATGCGCAAAATGTTTTTCAATAAATCTGCACACGTTAGCGTGTTCTCTTCATATCTTTGGTTTACTCTCCCAAAGCACATTTTCGCTCTTTTATTGATACGCAAACGAATCAAACGCAAGTTTCAGTTCTCTTCTCTGTTTTTATTCTTGTACGAATATATGTATTTTGACGAAGCTACAGATGCAACGCGGAAAATGCGACAGAACAAACATTTGATATGGCCAATAGAACATTTTTCTAATATTTTGAAATTGTTTCTTATATTTCTGAGAATCAGATGTCGGAACAAATTTTTGTTCTATTATAAAAATTCTATTATAAAAATAATAGAAAAATATAAGATATATCTATTTGTTTTGCCAAAGATCATAAGACAGACTTAAAAGATTCATATATGTATACTCTCTTTAGATCTTTTCTATTCTAATAAATATATCTAATAAATATATATATATTAATAATTCGCATAAGTTAATGAAACGAGAATAAAACCCAATAAATGCTTTATGTCGTGCATGAGTTCATAAAATTGAATAATACTTTCGATGTCATAAAGACAAACTTCGTTGTTCAATGTTTAATTTCCGGCTTTCCAATTGTTAAAGCTCTCAAACTTCTTTCAACATCGAACACCAGCTGCTTTCACGCTTAAAGTCAAAGAAAACTATCAGTGTGTCTTTATAATAGAAGAGAAAAAAAAATGTACGTAGACGCGTTAATTAAAAGTATAACTTTATATTTTTGCCTATCATAGAGATGCTACGAGCATGATGATAAAATGAAAATCTTCAAAAAATATAATAAAATGTTAAATTGTAAATGCACGCGGAACTTGTGATTGCAGAGCAATGTATATCTAGATAGTTTAAAGAAAGTGGAAGCTACGATTGTTAATATCAGTTTCTAATAATGCAAATTATTGGTATTTATTAAAATATCAGATATTAAATAAATACGTAAATATAAAAGTATAAGTAGTGTAATTCAATGCTTTTGATATAAAAACGATCTTTCAAATTTGCCAAAACTATAATTTAAAAAAAGAAATCTCTCTAGTATATAATTTTTCGTTATAATTTGCAATATTATAAAAGATTTTGTATTATAGTCAAAATCAAACAAAAAATTGAAAAATAGATAAATATGTAAAATTGAAACGAAACACTTTTATTGTTACGATTTTTAGAAAATCCACAAGTATCAATGAATCAAAATGAAACTTGGTTTCTCATTCGTGTCAAAACGGTTATTCTATCAAATTAAGGGAGAACCTTTGTGGCATTAAATTGGATTATTCTTTTACTGAAATCTCTGGAGTCATAAACCTTTCGGCGATATCCATTTCCTACAATCCACGGGACCCAAAAAGCTAAGCGATGTATAAAAAATATATAATCACATCAAGCTATATTCTCAGCCTATAAACGCTTTCTCTACGTGATTGCCGTAAAATCTTATCCAAGATATATCATTTTTTCATATGAATTACATAATTCAATTTTTATTTTCGCTATTAGTTCATAGCAGTATATCAAATAATGCAATTTCATTACACTTTTGATATGTTCATTATTATAATTTTGATATGTCATGTCTGAAATGTTCTGAAACTATAAATTTTAATTAATAGATATTAATTAATCATTATATCTTATCATCTTATATCGAATCTAAAATTAAAATAATCCATCATTCATTAATATCGTTATACAATTTGTTATATAATATCAATTTAATATCAATTTTATTTATTTAATTGTTGATTGATAAGATATCAAATCATTTCATACAATCACTTTAAATATAAACCAGATTATATATGTCGTAATCAAATATCACAATTGCAAAGTTCTTAGTTTCAAAGTATATACAGGTCGCCAAGAAACTAAGCGTTTGCTGTTAAATATTCATATAGATTCCGCCATTATAATATAGTCTTAGCTAATTCGGCTCGTTATCGCTGGGAACCAGTTCAAAGTACCTAATTCTGGCTCAGCATACCAAGATGACTTCGGCGGCTCTTACAGTTAGCTTCAAAGACTGAGAGAGATCCCAGATATATTTATATCGAATCAACAAAAAAATTGCAATTTCAAACTTAAAATGACATTTGACATTTAAAAAACAAACAAACAATAATCGCATACAATCAAAATATTTTTTAAGTAAATAATTAATATCAATACAAACTAACTAATTATTCGTGAAACATGTGTTTTACAATATTATAATGAATACAAACAATTTGACCATGTTTAGATTATCAGTACAAAAATTAAAGAGTTGTTAAATATAAATTAATTTATGTACTGATGATAACGTAAACGTGAAAATGTTTATATTATATGTACATGATTCATTAAATTGTAAAATAAACTTGTCATATACCTATATTAGTGTCAGCTCGTGTTGGTATTAACTATTTATTTGATTTACATATATATTCATTAAAGCC